AAAAAGATTCCCAGGTGATTCTAATGTGCAGCCAAGGTTGAGAACCACTGATCTAGAAGCAAGACCTGAAAGAGGAAATATAGTAGAAGGATTGTCTGACAAGAGAATTGAGAGAGCTGGTAATAAGAGGAGGGATAGGATTTGCATTCGTTCTAATATGAGCTCTTGTTCATTTCTGTATCTTGTTCATTTCTGTATCTCCAGTGTCTGGAGCAGTCATCCTTAACCTTATCTGTGGATTAGAGTCACCTGGAGAGCTTCTGAAATTCCTGATGCCTAAAATGCACTGTAAACCAATTAAATTGGAATCTCTGTGTGGGTACCAGGCGCAGTATTTCTTAAAGGTCCCTGGCCCTGGCCAGTGTGGCTCAGTTCTTTGAGCATCATCCCATGTACCCACTGAGAGGTCCACCATCTGCTTTCCAGTCAGGGCACATGCCAGGGTTGTGGGCTCCAGTAGGGGACGTGTAGGAGGCAGCTGATTCACGTTTCTCTCTCTCTCCCTCTCCTTTTCTCTATCACTCAAAAAATCAATAAAACTTATTAAAAAATAATAAAATTATTAAAAATTATTTAAAAAATAATAAAAAATAAAGGTCTCTGAATGATTCCTGTATATACTTCCAAGGAAGAGAATGACTGGTCTAGAACAATAGCATAAAGTAGAAACCTAGTAAATTTAGGTTTACTCAATAAATGAGAGAATGGAATTCAGGTTAGATTAGAGAGGCCCTAAAACTAGAAATGGCTGAGATTGAGAAAAGTGGTAGAGACTGAAGTCTCTGTGAACTTGAAGTGTAGGTTTGAGATTTGGGTACTTGTACTGTTTTCCAAGACAGAGATTTATGAGTTTATTATTTTGGAATTGGCGCAGTTTTAAGTGATATGATTTAATTCAATTTTGGCGAAGGGATTTTTGCATGGGGTTGAAGCTTGCTACAGTAGTGGCGTTAAAGATCTGAAGCCAGGGTGTTGGAAGGTTTGTGAAGATAAATGGTAAAGTTGAACAGGGTGGAGGAGGGGAGGAGGGAAGGAAGTTAATGGCTCTCAGATTGGACATTGATCTCAACTGAACCGGTTCTGGCTTGCACTTCTTTCTGTTGATTTCATGATCCTAAATTCATGTTTTTCAGCAAGTCCCTCAGACCCTCTGAATCTGAGATCATATTTGCTTCCCTGGGACTAGGTCCACTTTACCTTACCCTAAAACACACCCACTGAAGTACTATTGTGAATTAGCTTATTCATTTTCCTGTGTTCAAGAGACTATCAGGTGAAGGCGCTGAAGACTGGGAATACAAAGAGTCGTGAAATGTGGAAAATGTTGTCAAAATTCACTTTGTTTACTTACATTTTTGTTTGAGGCTATTCTGATCAGGGCTTCTATTGAGCAAAAATGGCAATAGAAAAATCCCCATAAAACTCCTTCCACCCCAAATACCATAAGGGCTTAGGAAAGAAACAGAGGCCAATGAAATGGCATTTCTTTTTTTATTTGAATAAGACATTTATTGCTCATTTATTTTATCACAGCCCACAACCTCAATATTGGATTATGAGTCATACTGAACTCTGATGGCAATTAGGTGATGAGGGTGGGTTGGGCTCCATGAAAGAGTTTATGGACACCCTCCCCGCTGACCAACAGCCAAGTCCTTTTCCAAGGAATACTTGGGTCAAGTAAGGTCAGGTGGTAAAGAGGCTTGTCACTCATTGTTTTCTTTTATGAAGAAGTACTCGTGTTCGCTCTCCCAGTGAAGTAAACATTAACTTCTGGTTGGAAACTGTCATCCTTATCATCTCAGAGGCACTGGATTACAAGCATATCTGGGGGCAGCTCCAGGTGGCAGCATGTGAAACAAAGGGTGCAGGCCTCAAGCAATATGTGATTAAGAATTGTGTTCTCTGTGGGAGACATTAAGCCCTCAAACCAGCAAACAATGGTGAACTCTCCCCCAGCCGCGTGGCAGGATGTTTGGGGAAGTTTCAGGAGGACAGGTAACACCCCTTGCTGCTGGAGGTGAGCCAACGAAATGGTCACATTGGCACCTGAATGGAAAGAAAGGAGACTCCAACGTGAATACGTGAAGTCCTCACCAAAGCAGCAGAACTGAGGAAGGCCGCCAGGTCTCTCCATTGCGTTGTCATGACTCTCTCCGGTCACCGCCTTCCAGCCCTCGTTTAGAACCTAGAACCAGCCACAGAGTCCTGCATCCAGCCTTGGCCCCCTCCCTTCCAGTTCAAGCTCTACAGCCATCAGGCCCTTTCTAAAATGCCATTCTGGTTTTCTCATTCCCCTGCTTAAGTCCATTACATGGCTTCCTGTTTCTCCCATTTCTCACAATCAAGTACAGCTCTGAGCAACCAGAGCTGAAAAGGTCTGCCTACCACTCCGTTTTTAAATTTTGCCATTCCCAGATCCCATTCTTAACTGCATTAAACTTCTAGTTTGTTTAAACCAGTGAAGCTCTTTGGTTTCCCCTTTTGGGAATTCTCTTTCCCCTTCTTCTTTTTCTGGCTAGCTCCTTATTTATCATGACTCAATTTAGATAGCCTAGTGGGCGCTCCTACAGCACCCTAAACTTCTCCGGTTGAAATGGTACACCCCTTATGCTGTTTCCTTACCTTCCTGTCTTTCTGGACAACATTAGCTCACAGTGAGTGTTTAATATTCACCACACCCTATTTAAGTAATTTTCTTGTCATAGCTCATGTAATTCCCGAAAGGATCCTGTGATACAGACATTTGATTACAAATAACCAAGGCTTATGTTGAGTGATTTGCTTAAGTCCTGCAGCTAGAAGGCTCTACAGGGCAGGATGGTGTCAGTCTTGATACCCGGCAACAATTGTATGCCTAGCCCTTAGATGTAGCTAGCACTTACATTGCACTTAGAATGTGCCTGGCATATCTCAATCTTATATCAATAGAATGGGGAAACTGAGAAATAAAGGTTAAGTGACCTGCTCATGGTCACACAGCTAAGCAGTAGCCAGGCTGGGATTTCAACCTAAGCAGCTGGCTTTAGAACTGCTACACTCTTAATCACTGTAACGTTCTTCCCTTGCATGAGCAAAACTTGCGGAAATGTTAAGGAAACAAGTAAAACAGTCAATAAAGTAAAGCAAATTGAAATCACCATTTAATAAGGCAATTTGTCAGTCCTTCAGACTGCCTCCTACGAACTCTTCCACAGGACAGACGACAGAAGGAGGGATGCATAGTTCCCGCCAAATGAAAATATGTCTGAATCGTTTTTTATCTGGGAGTGTTCCAACTTCAGAGTAGTCATCAGTGATTTAAAAAAAAAAATGCAAGGAAAATTTCCCTTTGGCACTGAAATATGTACTCAACTTACATTCTTTAGAGAATAAGGGGGGAGAAATCCAATGGGATTACAGTGAAAAGTTTAAGAAAACCAGCTATAATGGAAGAGGACTTCTGTGGTTTTGGGGGAAAAAGAATGGAAAAATCCTTGCAGTTCCAAACAAGGCCAAAAAGTTTAGTTTGGCTTTGTCAAGCACAAATAGAACTTGGGTGGCAGAAAGAAAAAAGCAAAGGAATGCTTTCATGGTTGTGTTTTTCTCCCTTCCCCAAATGGAAAATCTTATTGCTGTTTCTTCTGATTTCTGTATTGCTCTGGTGGTTTCTCCCACGATGAATTATTTTAAAAGATCATCTCAGCATTTTTTTCTTTTTATAAAATAGAAGAAATTTGAATAACTAATGGATTTTTTTTCTTTTTGGAGAATAGATGGGGGGTAACGACTTGGGGGATTCAAAGAAAGAGGATCTCTGTCTAAGTGAGTGAGGGACACTTCCCCAGTTGCCAGAAGACATGTGCCTGTAGCTTTGGTGGTTCCAGTGTAGGAGACCCTAATAATTGTCACAAATGCCAGAAGCTTATTGGACTTGGCTGCTACCTTTTGTTGTTGATCAGAAATGATTGCTTGGAGATGGAAAGGAGCTCACAGATTAGGGATGGGATTTGTTAGTGGTTTTAGGGAGAAGCAGATGATAGAGAAGAAGGTAACTCACAGATGGCTGGCCTAAGTTTCTGGGTAGAGCCAATTATTGAAGGAAGGAAGGCTTTAGGGAAGAATAGGTGAAAGGGAGAGAATTTAAAAATTCAATTTTTCACATGTTAAGTTTGAAATTTCTGTTCTAGGGTCCCACCTGGTCTCCCTTGTTTTACCCATGCATTATAGTATCGATTCACTATGTAACAGCAAAAGGATCCCTTTAAATGGAAACTCCAAGTTATCTAATGACTCCACGTTTCACTTCAAGTAGAAGCCAAAGGCACCACCTTATTTCTACATGCCTCCTTGCTCATTCTGTTCCAGCTGCACTGGCCTCCCTGCTGTCTCTTGACCATGCCAGGTACACTCCCACCTCAGGAACTTTTTCTTGGAGTGCTCTTCCTACAGATACCTTAGATGCCTTCCTGACCTCACCTCCTTCAAACCTTTGCCCAAGTTTCAGCATCTCTGTGAGGTTGGGCTGACCGCCCTACTTAGAATCACAATTGCTCTTCCATCTCCAGCACTCAATTCTTTCTTCCTCTTTCTTTCTTTCTTTCTTTCTCTCTCTCTCTCTCTCTTTCTTTCTTTCTTTCTTTCTTTCTTTCTTTCTTTCTTTCTTTCTTTCTTCCTTCCTTCCTTTCTTCCTTTCTTCCTTTCCTTTTCTTTCTTTCTTTCTTTCTTTCTTTCTTTCTTTCTTTCTTTCTTTCTTTCTTTCTTTCTTTCTTTCTCATCTTCCATTATACTGACTCTTTTATAACGTCAATTGTTAATCTCTGTCTCCTCTCACAGAATATGAGTATCATGAAGGAGAGAGATTTGATACTAATATATCTCTAGAACCTAAACTATTTCATGGCACATAGGAAATACCCAATAAATATTGGTTGAATGAATAAAAATAATGACTGACAGATATTAATAAAAAAAGGTCCTGTCTTAGTCTGCTCAGACTGCTCTAACAAAATACCACAGACAAAATACCAGACATCTATTTCTCACAATGGGCGGCAGGGATGTGTATGATCCAGGTGCTGACAGGTACACTGTCTGATGAGAGCCCTCTCCTGACTTGCAGACAGCTGTTGTTCTGTTGTGTCCTCGCATGGTGGAGATCTCTCTCTCTCTCTCTCTCTCTCTCTCTCTCTCTCTCTCCCTCTTCTTATAAAACCACCAATCCTGTTATATTAGGGCCCACCCCTTTTGACCTTATTTAATCTTAATTACCTTCTAAAGCCCTATCTCCTAATATAGTCACATTGAGATTAGAGCTTTGACATTTGAATGTAGAGGGACACACAATTCAATCCATAGCAGTAAGCAAGAAATAAACATTGACAGTGTGCT